TAATTAAAACGAGATTGATTGCAATTAATTTTTTTTTTAAATTCGTCCTATAAATAAAAATTGAATAAAATGTTCTAATGCTTAGATGACAGCCGTTGTAAAAAAAGTTAAGTCAAAAAACAGTACTCAAAACAAAGAAAAATTTTAAATTTAAAAAATTAAAGAATTAAAAAAATAAAAAAATTAAACTATTACATCTTTACAGAAACAAAAATTTGTTTGATGTTAAAAATTCTATAATACAGTTTTACTGAAGAAAACTTGAAAAATTATAGATGTCAATTGTCAATAACTTAGTTTACTCTAAAATTTGGGATTTAAAATCTGAGTGAAACAGTTTATAGATAATTAAAAACGTCTCATGAAGATTTAAGAAGTGTGAAATTTTGAATTTAGGAAATTGAGAAGAAACTATAAGAAAATAAAAAATTGTATATTTCACTGAAAACTTGAAACAACAAAAACAGTGCTAATCGTTTATTTATAGTATCATTTAAGGTCACAGGTGCATAATTGAATTAGCTAATAAAAAATAGACTTGTTGCTATCACAAATATCACACTTATTTTGGTCTTCCATAGAAAGTGAAAGCGTTGATTGGAGAAAAAAGTATGAAAAAAAAAACAGAAGTTTACAAATAAGATTATTTTTTTCAGTCATGAAAGGACCTCCAATCCTTACAACTGTAGTGCCTGTAGGTCCCGAACCCACGCACATGATTTGTCCACATTGTCATGCAGAAATCGACACCACGACATACACCAGACCCGGAAATATCGCCTATATTGCGGCCACTTTAATATGTCTAATGGGGTAGGTTCACTAACTAGGGTAAAGCCGGGCGAGATGGACTTTTACACATCAGAATAAACTATTTTTTTATGTAATTGAAAAATGAGTTATAAACATGTGGTCCACCTTTCCCGGACTTACCCTATTTCATAACAATATTTTCTGATAAGTTTGTGTGCAACAACAAAATTTAATTACCAAATATATTGACACGATAAAACGGCCAATTATTTATAATTCAATGAAGGAAATGACATAATTATTGAAGGCGGTAACCTTGCAAGTATTTCATAATGTTTTATATTTAAATATCGATAAATTAGTTTGTTGTTCACACTAGATACAAAGTATTGATTTCAATTTTGCAAAAAGTTATTTATAAAATGATAATTAATAACACGCAAATTGTTGATCGGGAAATAATATCGTACCGATTTTTTGCAAAGTTTTTTAATGACTTTCAGGAACTTATGATTTTCTCAACAATTTAACCGACTTACGTCAGATTGTTTTAATTAGTAGTTTTATAATTGGCATCCTTACATATTAAATTTCGTAAAATTTAGCAGAAAAATTTGTTGAATACGGATATAACATTTAAAAAAATACTTTCTTCCTCTTAAAAGTCAAAATATTTTTTGACGGACAACTCCTCAAATTTCGAATAACTTTAATAAAAATAGCGAAAACGTAACATTTTGAATAAGTTGAATTTAAAAGATAAAATCTATTAAAAAAAATTAAACAATATTTTTCTATTAGAAAGACATT